GGCATCCTGGGGCCCCACCTCCAGCTCCAGGGTACTGGTCTTTACTTCTGCCTGTTACTGCCTGGTGTGTCCTGCTGTGGGTGTAGTGTATAAGCCTGAAGGCTGCAGGCAGGGCCATGCGTAAAGCTCGGGCATGCAAGTGGTTTCATTGCTTATAAGGGATCTGGTGGCTGCCACGACTTGGAAAGGACTATGAGGGGCAGAAAATGTATGTCTGGATTTACACCCCAGCGTGTGCTGTGTCACTGGCCCCCTATGTGAGCTAACCACCCTTGTGTTGTATTATACTGACCACTTCCCGTGATCATCCTTCATCTTACTGCATCTAAGAGGCACCTTGTCCTAAGTCAGAATTCTCCTTCATTTCAGTGGATGTTTACCTGACGTGCAGTTAATTTGCCTGTTTTGTTGTTTTTGTCTGCATTGATACAGGTTGGCAAAGACAGCAAGGGTAGGGTTCAGGAGAAGGAATGACCAGAATCAGCTATAAGTGATTGGGAAATTCTTCTTGGGAAATAGAATTCGTTATTATCTTTTGATCAGCAGATGGCGCTGTTACAGGAGACAGCAAAGCAGACATTGATGGATTTGCTCTGGGCCATCCCTCTGACCCTTTTCAGTGGCACAACCAACCCTCCTGTTTTTACAAAGCACTCTTCACAAAAGGTCAGACTTTGTGATCCTGCCACAAACTACGTTGTGGTCAGGTGCAAGGCCCTTCCTTGGGGAGGCTGCCTGTAGTTTATGTAACCTGCTCAGGAATTCACACTGCTGCAGGCCCGCCAGGAACCTGGCAGGGAGCCTGGGGCCTGAGCCAGCTTGCCCCCTCCCAGTCTCAGCACTTGGTCCAGGGCTTGTAAACAGCTTTCTGTCTGGCATGCTCCATCTTGCAGCCCTGCCTGGGCAAACCACAGCCACTTGTACTTTGTCTTTATGGTTGCTGGCTCCATGACCAGTGACTGGGCTTGTGAGCACAGGTGAAGCCTCCTCAAGAGGTTGCACAAATAGCACAGCTGTTTGTTGTTTCTTTCAGTGGGCGCTTGTGTATGACGAGGGAAAGTGGAATTGTCCCTCCACAGCTGCTCCCGCAGAGGCCCTGGGGATAGATCTCTGTTCTATCTATGACTGCATTATTTTGCCATTTTCTTTTTTCTCTTGTGCTGTGGACCTAGAACTGGGTCAGGTCTTCTTCCGTGCTGTCATTTGTCACCACAGTCTCGGTTGTGTTTTTGGTCGGCCAATATCTTCTTACCTTCAGTGGCTTTTTGTTCACCACTTGACAGTGTTGTGAGCACCTGGAATCACACTCAGATCCCAGGGAGATCACGGCAGCTCTCTTTGTCCTTTAGCCTAAGTCCCAGCAAGCTGAGTTGAACCAAGGTGGGACTTCTGTGTCTCTTGGTGATGCTCTAGTACTGTGATTGTTTGGCTTAGAGGGTTTAAGAGGAATTCTGGGTCTCACTTGGCAGCGCCTGGCACATGGGGAAGAGGATGGAAACTGCCTGACTTTAAAAGTTTACTTGTTCAGTTCAGGCATTGTTCTTCCTCAACCTTCTAAGTGCCGGGATTGCAGGCATGTGTCACATACACACTTGGCTTAGGTACCTGCCTTTAGCTTGGGAGACTCAGGTTTTCACTGAGACCCCATCATCCTAGCATCCAGTTGAGGGTGCAAATGTATCTTCATGCAAGTGTAAGGAAGCAAGATTAAGTCAAGGTTTCCAGACTGTTTACTCAGACAACAAGAGAAAACCACACAGACCTTTCCATGGCTATCACCACTAACAGCGGGTTTGACCACCGAGAACCCCTCTGCAGAAGCTTATGCTTTTAAGTTAATTATTAAATTAGTATCACTACCTGGTTGTTTGTCAACGTGTGTGTGTGTGATTAGCTCAAGGACTTGCCTGGATTCAAACACCTGAAGATGTTTAAGTGTTTGCATACAGCCAGTGTATGCTTCCCACATACTCATCACACTTGCCAATACAATGTGTCATGTAAATAATTCTCTATATTGTTCAGGGAATGGCTATGAGGAAAAAGCCTGTGTGTGTTCTAAGGTTGGTTGAATCTGTATGTATGTAGTAGTCTGCAGTATGGACAGGATAGCATACATATAATCTTGGAGATGTCACAGAGAGGTAGATTTGCAAGCTGTCTTAATACTCAGTAGCTATATAGTTTATAGCTATATAGTATGTAGCTATCCATCTTACAGCTAGAGAATGAAAGGTCCTAAGAGGTTGAACATCCCTGAGGGGTTCAGTGCAGATGTTCTTATGCACCCTTATGGGGTCTGTGATAGCTGGTAATAGACTATTCTAATCATTCAATACAGTGCTCACGACAAAACAGTGACCACCACATTGAATTGCTCTTTGACCACTGATGCTACAGAGATACTGACATTGAGTGGACCTTCTTGTGGGGGCCAGAGGTCACCAGATCAGGGTCTCAGTTAACAGATGGCATCTTCTCAAAATCTGACCTGTTGGGTTGGTGGGGCCCATGGGGAGTCCCAAGAGAGGGGAAGTCCTGAGGTTTACTCAGGTGTTGATGAAGTGATGAGGATGGGGCAGGGGCAGTACTCTTGCTCCTACTGGTCCAGGGAAGTTCAGTGAGAAGCAGGAAGAGTGTGTGTGTGTGTGTGTGTGTGTGTGTGTGTGTGTGTGTGTGTTATGGAGACATTGTCAGAATACCTACAGGAGAAGTCACAGGAATATAGCATAGCATTGCTTAGTGACAGATCACTCTTGTCGACAAACCCAGGAATATTTGAGACCTTGTGATATGACAAATAAGAATTTGCAAGCAAGAGATCACACTAGGCCCAGGGTACTTGAGAGCTGCCCAACCTGTGTATACCCATCCTTTTCCTCCCACACCCGGCTTGGACAGAGTTGGAATGCCTGGGTTGTGAGTCAGAGTGTTTGTGTGTAGCTGAGTGACGGCCAGAGTAGAAGGTATACTCAGGATACCTAACCCCAGGAAGGGTCTGTGGAAGAGGGAAGGACTGGGGAGGTAGTGATAGGATCAGAATAGTAGTAACTTGAGTGGGTGGAAGAGGAATGGAACCCACTGAGAACAGAAACAGCTGTGACTGCACTGCATTCCCCTGTGTCTAAGACTGGGATGTCCTGATGCCCCTGTATTCACCCAGTTAGGTCCCCAGGCCACTTCCTTCTAGCAGTCCTCACTCACTCTTATGCATGTGCTTGAGTGGGCCCAGCTAGATCTATGCCCCCTGCCTGCCCTGACTTCCTGAGACTTTGTTCTTCAAATCTCTATTCTTCTCACTTCGTATACAACATGAGAGCATAACCGCCTTGAAAGGGGCTTTCCTTCTCCTCCTCCCTGCCCCCCCCCCCCCCCCCCCCCCCCCCGCGCCTAGGCCCTGGTTACTTCTCATTTTCCAAGGCAGCCAGTGGGGAATAGGACAGAGTTAGGGACACAGAATCTTGTTGGAGGGCAATGTGGGGTCATCCCTGGCTAGGAGGACTGAAGCATTTGAAGGGTAAGTAATGTGAGACCCAAGGACTCGGAAGAACATTCTGGTAGGATGTCTTTGATTCCAAGGTCCATCTTGGGATTGAATGTTACTGAAGAGTAAAGGACTCTCTAACAGGGAGGAGACTTGGAGCCAGCATGCCATTGTTTGTTGGGAAGCAAGCAGGGCTCTTGATCTTCATTCCTGATTGTTAATAGATAGCTGCAAATTGGTTGTGCCAAGGCCACTGGAGAAGGGTCCTTGTCTGCAGCCCAGCAGAGGTGGGGTTGGGAGGAACCTGTGCATGTTTGTCAACAGGGAACATCTCTTGCAGGCTTGTTTATACTTTTTTGTTGCTTTATCAGACTGTTTCCTGGTAGATAGCATAATGTAAACAAGTTCTGGGTCTGCCCAAGGACTGTGGTTTCCAACCTCCTGACTCAGTTTCTTGGCCTTCTGCAGTTTCTGGGGGATGGTTTCCATGGTAAGGGGATGCCTGAGCTGTCATCTGCACATTTTCTTGCCTGGCTGATGGATGTTGATGATTGGTGCCCTGCTTTACATTTAGATTTGTGAAGTGTGGTGTTTTCAAGCCATCCTTCACCATGAAGAGTCACTGATAGAAAGTGGCTCCTGCATAGGCAAGCCTACCTCCCACAGTCTCCCATGGCATGGTGTGCTAGCCTGGGCACTGTGTGGTCTCAAAGCTGCGTCCGGTTCAGTCTGCCTGGGACTTGTGAAGACTCTGGCAAGACACTGCTGACTTGTGGCTCTTCATTTGCCACCTGATTCACGGCATACCTCTTCCCCACTATAGCCTGATGCTGGGAGGCCTTTGGTAGTAAGATGAGGCAGGGCACACCAGGCACACACTCTGGTCATGGTCTATCTATAGTGTCTGCACCCTGCTTGTCAACTAAGCCATCTCAGGTGGCTTGAGCTGTACCTGAGGTAGGATGTCACAGCCTCCATCTGAATAGCAGATGTGATTCTACTACTTCCTTTAAAATGTCACCTCCAGGACCCCTGACAAAGGAAACAGAACCAATGTTTGTCTGTCTGTCTAGATCTCTGTCTGTGATTCCCCTTCCCCCCATTTCCCAAGTCCCTACTCCACCCCACCCCCATGTTCTAGCTCAACAAATAAGATGACAGAAATAACCTGTGTTTCCATGGTGTGAGACCTAAGAGACATTCAGTGGAAATAGAGATTTTGGATGAAAGGGAAATGTTCTCTTGTCTAGCTAAAATCTAGATGAGAACAATAGATGTCTTCTAACACAACTCCCTGTCTGAAAGATATGGCCCATCCCAGGACAAACGGCTGCGTTCTTTTGGGATTTTCCTCCTGTTGAGATAATGTGGGGGCTCTGGGGGGACAGTCAGTGATGTACTGACTATCTGCCCTGTGGCATCTTTAGATGTGCATTTCCAGGGTGAATTCCTGGCCACAGCTGTCCTGGGGCCATACCATCCACATGGCTTATTTTCTCGTCCCCTCTTGAACCAGGTGAAGTGTTATCACAAGAAGTTCCGCTCAGCCACCCGAGATGTCATTTTCCGCCTGCAATTCCACACTGGAGCTGTGCAGGGCTATGGACTGCTGTTTGGGAAGGAAGAGCTGGACAGTGCCTGCAAAGGTGCGTGGATGAAGCCCTTTGGGATGTCAGAAGCAGTGTCCATCCGTCCCTGTCTCCCTTTCCATTTGCTGGCAGAGGTACTGCCAACATATGCAAAACTGAGTGGATCTGTGGATGAACAACTCAGAGAAACCAGGGAGAGGTTGACACTCTGTGTGTGAGGGTGTTCTGTGGCAGCTGTGGCAATGGCCCTGCACTGGCTGGACTGGAAGGGCAGGACCCAAGTGTACATAGTGTGATGTGTTCCTTTTTCAGATGACCGTTTTCCTGACTACGGCAAGATTGAATTGGTCTTCTCAGCCACACCTGAGAAGATTCAAGGTAACTGGCAGGACAGTGGGCAGCCAGACTCTAGCTCAGGCTGGAGACTATTTTGAGGACCTTATATATGGTGGTGCTGCTTGGGGCCTTGTGTATTCTAGGCATGTGTCCTACTAAGCTTGAGCTTGAATTATTATTATTATTATTATTATTATTATTATTATTATTATTATTATTATTACTATTATTTACATAGCATACTGGATAGTACGTGGGAGGTGGCTCTGAGATATTAATACTTACTTGGAAAAGACCAAAAGGTAGCATGACTTGCCCATGGTGATTCCACTAGGATGTCCTTGCAGGCTAGGGTACCTGCTGGTGTCCCTGCTGGTTCCCCTTACATTTGTGAGGTTGTACCAAACATTTGCTTTTCCCTTCAGATTGAAAAAAGGATTGCCAGTGTAGCACACTGATTGCCAGCACAGTATGCAGAATGTCCATGTGTTTCAGAAAATACATTTAATAAGCAATGGTTTTCCTTACCACTGTAGTAAAATGTTACTATCTGTCACTGGACCTCCTGTGTACGACTGTTTCAATTTGGGATAGAAATCACTTTGTAATCTAGGCTGACCTCCTGGTCATCCCACTTCAGCCTCCCCAATGCTGAGATTGATTATAAGGGGGTGCTACCACAGTTGGCTACATGATAGCTCTAACTCCATTTTTCATTGTTTAGGAAATTACCACTCTTGTACTAGGCACATTGTTACAGACTTAGGTAGGAACCAGAAAATACAAGGCTCACATGTTAAAATTTCCCATGATGTTTTGAGATGCTGGGCTTTGCTAAGACTAACACCCCTGTCATGGCCCACAGGAGCAGAGCATCTATACTGTGACCAGGGAGTGATGGTGGACTATAACACAGCAGACCCTCTGATTAGGTGGGACTCCTACGAGAACATGAGTGCTGATGGAGAGGGTGAGTGCCATTTCTTGCAGCAGGAAGGTGCAGGGCTGATATAGCATGTTCATGGCTACATCAGCAAAGCCCTACGGTCGATTACAAGGTGACTGTCACCTTGCACCCCACAGTCCAGAGCTACACATGTATGATGCTGTTGTTTTGAAGGTGCTCACAAGGGTCAGACTTGGTGAATTTAGATCAGGGCCTTTTTGAAACTGTAGTATGTGGAGGGCTGGTTGGAAGCTTCTTGACTCTATCCCTGCCAGGAGTGTGCACTACTGTGGTCTGGTGCTTTCCATCCTTTCCTTACAATATGTGCTAGAGAATGCCATGTATTGGGTGGGGCGTCCACTACTTGATGCCCTGGAGTTGTGGACCTCCTGACACTGTTGAGGTTTGCCTGTTATCCAGGTGTAGGGAGATACCCAAATTACTCAGCACATTCCCTGTTCACCCACAGAATGTACACTGTGGCTCCCAGGCAACCCACAAAGCAAATAAGGAAAAAAGGGACAGTCATCTTCTGGGGCTACTGAGAGAAGCCACTGAGGCTGATTGCTAAGAAATGGCCATCTAAGTCTTTCATGTTTTGTTGTTAACTTTAAAAATATTACATTTTGCTGGGCATTGGTGGCGTACGCCTTTAATCCCAGCACACGGGAGGCAGAGGCAGGCGGATCTCTGTGAGTTTGAGGCCAGTCTGGTCTCCAGAGGCCAGGATAGGCTCCAAAGCTACACAGAGAAACCCTGTCTCGAAAAAACCAAAAGAAAAAAAAACATTATATTTATTGTGTGTTGTGGGGAGGTCATGAGCATGCCATATCATGTGTGTGTGTGCATGAGGGTGGGTTAAGGAAGTCCAGGAATGCCCAAATAAAAGAAGAACAGATATTTATTTGGGGAGCATTCATACAATGAAGGTAAATATCTGCCACAGTCTTCTGCCCCTGGAGATACAGCATCCTGCAATGCACAATGCTCCGACTACCACCCAAGAGAGAGAGCCAGACCCCTCCTCTTCCTTATAAGGGTTCACATCCATACACCCAAGCCACACACTAAGGGCAGCACCTCCAGTCTATTGGTGGAACAAGATGCCACTACACGTGTGTGCATATGTGCCCATTTGTGTGTTTGTGCCCATGCACATGTGCATGAGATCAAACTCTGGTTGTCAGTCTTGGTGGCACTAATCAAAGGCCTTGTACTGGGCCTGGGAGGGTGCAGGCAATGGTGTGACCAGGCAAACGAGTGGTTAAATTAGAACCAGAGAGCCATGTAATGAAGTAGCCAGTAAGTGGCTATGCATAGGAGCCACCAAAGACCAACTGAGACATCTCAATGGCCTGCTCTTTTATACTTTTAGACTACTGACTGAGAATCAGACCTACGGAGAGAAAGAAAACTGGAGTATTTTTGTCAAGTTAGGTATATCCAAACACCAGTGTCTGGAATTATCCACACTAGCATCGCCTCCTTGTCAGTCTGAAGACTTGAGAAGATGGCTGGTGTTAGAGACACCAATTCTATGTCCCCCTGCTTGTTCTGGGGGAAATCAAATGGCTTTCTGTGCTGTGGAGGGTAAAATTTCATCAGAAGGAATTGCTGGGATTTCAGATCCATTTGGATCTGAAATGGAACCAGAGGTGAAGTGTGTTCTGGTCATTAGAACAGGTGAAATCTGGATGTGAGCAGGCAGGTGTAGATGAGGCGAACCTTTCTAAGTGTCTTTGCAGTATGGAGCATTCAGAAGCCTAATCCTTCAGGTGCCCGCATAGATTAACAATTACAGCTGAACAAGTTCAGAAAACTGATGATTTTTCTCTCAGTGTCTCCCAAGCTAGGCAGTGAGATCAGGGAGGAAAAGTTGGTAGTGTAGGTTGTGTGGTTTGAAGATGGGGCTTTGCAGGTGGATGGTCTGGCTGATAGGAAGTGAACGAAGTTCTCTGAGTTGGTTGGTTCTGGGCCTGATTAGATAAGGAGCTGGACTAAGTATGCATACACAGTGTTTGGCCACATTGTTTGTGAGCAGCACCTGGCTACAGTTAGCTCAGGCCATTAAAGGATGGCACATGCTCTATAAAAGCTACTATGTTTCCCATCTCATAGATTCTCTGGGTCTAGGGCTCCACTGGACACAATTCTCTAAGGCCTTGGAACTGTTGTCAGTTCATTATACCAATGCAAAAGTTAAGTTTAGAAAATTGGATCGGGAGACAGAAGGAAAAGAAAGGGTTTTTATTTTTCTCTTGGAAATCAATTTGTATTTATGAGTTTGTATTTTTTTTAAAATGCAACTTATCATTTAAGAAAGTTTCGACAGTGTTGCTGCCTGTAAACAAGGCTCTTGACATCCCTGTACTTTAGGCCTGGTTTTTAACTGGCACATAAGGTATTCATACTGGGGCTAACCCCAGGACTTTCATAGCCTTGTTTTTTGCTTAGCATGCTCTGAGTATGTGTGATTCTGTGAGCAGTTTCTTCCAGGTCTTGCTTTGTCATGTTCAGTTGCATTAGACAGGTCACCATGGTGCATTTGATTCTTTTCCCTGTCACCCAGTGAGGCTTCTGTGTTTTCATTAGTGTGCCCAAGACCAAGATCAGCACAGAATAGAAAGATCCATTCCTGTGACTAGAAAGTGAGTCCTGTCTGAGGACTCCTTCTCCACCAACACTCAGTCTTCCTCAGCACCTCTCGGGCAGTGAGACTCCATGCAGTCCCTGGCTCTTGCCAGGGGTCTGCAATCCCTGGCTTGGGTTCCTGGACAAAGCCACCACCTTGGCAGGCAGAAAACGAAATCTCAGCTGCAGTTCTTGCCAGGGACCAACCCTCAAGCAGCATTAGTCCTGACAGCTGTCGGAGCTTTGAGGAGTAACGGGAGGTTTGGCAGCCTTTGAAACATTTTCTTTTAGCTGAAAAATGGAGTGTTACAATGCCCCCTTTTACCCTACCCCTGCCTCTAGTTTCTACTGGTCTTAAAAAAAAGAGCTGAAATAGTGACTTAAGCTGCATTTTTCTCTAGAAACTCCCACTGCCCTGGAATGAGCCCTCCACAGCTGCCTTTAGTCAGGGCTCATATTAGGAAAGCTCTGTCTTTTATGTCTAAGCCCAATGCCCCACTTTCCATACTAAGAAAAGAGTCTGCCCTGAATCTGTTCCAAGGTGAAGAAGAGAGTCCAAATGCTTGTTTGTAGTGTAGGGGTGTTCATGTGGTCTTAGTTATTTTCGTCCTCATGGGTGGGCAGTGGTCTGCTGAGCTTGTGAGCTGTGGGGCCACTGGCCTCTCCAGGGTCCTCACAGTCACCCAGGACAGGGAAGAATGCCATGGTGTGGAATGGTGCCAAGAAATTCACAGTATGGATATGGAAGTCTTCAGTAAACTTGTGTGTGCTATTTCATCTTCATAAGAACCTATGCGCCCCTCTTAGAGATAAAGGGAACAATAGTTTCCAAGAAAAGGGAGAAGATAGGAGCTTCACGGGCCCTGGGAACCTCCTGGATTTTACTGTTGGCGATGATTGGTGCCCTGTTGTGTTATGTTCAAGATTGTGTGGGACAAAGCACTGTCTGCCTTTCTGTATATGACACTTGTGCTGGCCATCATTGGATGGATTGCATTCTCATCATCTAGAACAGATGGGGTTTCTTACCTGGCTGGGAGGGACAGAATCGGCTTGGTTGTGATGGGCTAAGGAAAGGTCTCATAGCAGCTCACCACTCTCTCTCTCTCTCTCTCTCTCTCTCTCTCTCTCTCTCTCTCAAGAAATACCAAAGAATAAGTAAATTGATGGCCTCATAGGAAGGCTTACAGTCCCACCTTGTCCCAGCATGCATGGTGGACTATGGGTGCCACTGTTCCTAGAGTTCTGTCTCTTGCTCTTCTCATCTACTCTTTTCTTACACACGAATGGTCTGATTTGCTTCCCCCCCCCTGCACCTCAAGCCCTCCATTACTGTGCCTGTAGCTCTCTGTAAAGCCATCACGTCCCCCCCCCTTAAGTTCCCACAGGGTCAGCACCACTGACCACAATCCCTTGATTGTGTGATGTGTGTGTTTGCTCAGATGAACTGTGATTTTGTTCTTGTTCCACATCTGTAAAATACCTATGTGGTTGGTCCTAAACATCCCCTCCACCAGCTCTGTGAGGGACTTACTATTGTATATACAGCTGCATCAGCACACATCATACAGTCTTCCTTCGGTATTGGCAGGAACTGGCTCCAGGACTCCCTCAGACACTTGAATACATGGATGCTCAAGTCCCCTTCTTTGAAGTGAGTTGTAATGATAACTCTTTCTGCCACTGCCTGAGTTCCTCCACCATGTTAGGGCCTCCAAATAACACACACAGTCTTAGATTAGTTACAATGCTGCTGGTCAATGACTAAAATTTCTTGTTTGCTAGCTCTGTCCTAGTATCAACCATAACCATTAATCTTTATATTTTATAAACACTTATATTATCAAGGACGCCAGCAGAATGTGTCCTCTCTTCACAGCGATCACATAGTGACTGTCGTTACTACATTTCCCAGAATCCTCCTCGATTCCTAGCCTCACCTATTTTGCTTTCCTATTGGCCAACAGTGCTTTATTTATCAACCAATAAGACAAACATATACACAGAAGGACTTCCCCCATCAGTGAGTTAATATTTGCATATAATCTACACACACCCTCCCATATGCTTTAACCATTCCAGGGTTTCTTATAATGCCTACCACAATATCAACCCTGTGTGAATAGTTGTTACTCCTCATTGTTTGGGGGAAAGGAACAACAACAAAAAACTTTTATGTTCAAAACAGATGCATTTTTTTTAAAGATTTTATTTATTTATTATGTATACAACATTCTGCTTCCATGTATGTCTGCACACCAGAAGAGGGCACTAGATCTCATAATGGATGGTTGTGAGCCACCATGTGGTTGCTGGGAATTGAACTCAGGACCCCTGGAAGAGCAGTTGATGTTCTTCACCTCTAAGCCATCTCTCCATCCCCACAGATGCAT